AAAGAAGTATTCTATAGTTAAAAGAGTTTAATGGCATTACCATATGGGAAACAGGAAGGTTGTTATTAAGTATGTTCATACAATAATTTAAATCCTTCTTTTTGTACTCTGTGTACAGGACCAAGGGAGGGACTAGTTGTGTGGATGTAGGCAGGACCTGTGTTTTGGTACAGGTGTTTCTGTTATTTGGGAAGTGGATTTGGGCCTACTTAAAGCTTGCTGGTCAAGGACACTTGATTTTTGACTCCCTCTAAACCAGAACACTACACTAAGGTGGTAAATTTTCTTTTTGAAAACATTGAAAATTCTGTGTCCATGTGATATGTGTGGTATGTGTTTGTGGGTGTGTGCAGGAGAGCACATGTGGAGGGGAGGCCAGTGTGAGCTGGTTTCCTTTATTGTTCTTCACAGTGCTTTCTGAGATGGGGTTTCCTACGAAACCTGAGGCTTAGCAATATAAAAGATCAGCTGGTCACCAAGTCCCAGGTCCTTCTGCCTCTGTTTCCCACACTAGGATTATAGGACTATGTGACTATGTATGGCTCCTTACAAGAGTGCTGGGGCTCCAAACTCAGGTCCCTTGCTTGCACAGCAAACATTTCACTGACAAAGCCATCTCCCAGGCCCCTGGCATTTATTATAAATGTCCACTGCTTATGTATTTCTAGAACAATGTGTTTGGCACTGTGTGACTGGACTGGGGTCTAGGGATTTTGAGGTCTGGTTTCCAGATCCAACAGAACATTATTTGACCATTTAAGTATATCACCAAGAATCTTACTGTTATGAACTAAAAATTCTTCAATGGAAATAGTAGGCTTGCCTTGCAATTCAATATTCAAAAGAAACACTTGCACACACTTCAATATAGAATATTTAGAAGCATTCATGGAAAGGAAACTAAAACACTCAATAGAGTTAATAAAACACATAGCCTTAAGATTTTAGAATAAAGAAATTTAGTATTTTTATATATTCTCCACACTCTTTTCATTTAATTCCTATAACTGAACTCTATACTTAAAAATGTGAATACAGAATTCACATATTAGCTTGCAAACCAATATTCTTAGTTTTTAAAGATAGAATGATCCTCCTTAAAGGAGATTTTGAGGGGCTAGAGAGATGGTCAGAGGGCAAAGGCAACTGCCATGCAGGCTTAGCCGCATTCAATCCTGGTGGCCCACACAAACGTGGAAGTAGAGGGCTGACTTTGTCCGAGTTATCTTTGACTTTAACATGTATGCTATGGCACATGCACCCCTTCCCCACATCACAGAAACACAATAATAATGAGATTTTGAAAATTAGTTACCTACTGATTTAACCATGAGAACAAGTCATTTCTTAATGTCTTCATGTCTTATTTCTGACCTGCTGTTTAAAAGACTGGACAAGGCACTGGGGTGGGTAGGTCACCTGAACTGTGCTTACGCTTTGTTGGGAAAGAAAAGCTGGACCATGCTTCCTAGCCATCTGCTCCTGCACCATGAAGCCATGCAAGAAGGGAAGAACTGGCACTGTACTGCTTCAGAGGTCCACAGAAACATCACCCACAGGGACCTGTTCCTTTGTCAGCCAGGAAGGTCACCAAATGTGGTTCACATATCTGGGGAATTCTCTTGATATTTTGACAAAAACATTCTAATCCTGTGTTCTATGATATCAGACTCCAAAGACAGAAGGCAAAAAGAACTGGCTTTTATCTAAAAGAATATTAAAAATATACATATGTGGATTGTCATATGACTTAAGTGTGCTATTTGAAAAGGAAAACAGTATTTTTGGAGAGTAAACAATTCAGATGAACTTGTGTAGCGGGGAAGGTGGTATTTCAGGATCAGATTAACCTGAGCTCTAATCCTGGCTTAGTCATAGGGTTTTGGATAGTGAGGTTCTCTGAGGTTCACGTTTTCCACCTGTAAAATGAAGACAACACTTTATACTATGGACAACTATACAGATGATGAATGAGTGGAGCACTTGGCACGCAGCAGGTAATCCGTGATAGCTAATGCAGCATTTCAGTAATAAAATATGCGAGCACACGCTTTCAATCCCTGAATCCAGGAGGCTGAGACAGGAAGACCATGAGTTTGAGGTCAGCATGAGCTATGTACCTTACCTCGAAACAACATCAAAAGACCAAAAGGTGTTTTTTCTTTACTCTTACGAGAAAGCTGTGCTATCTTCTGATGCCTCATTCTGAATGCCCAGCCTCACTGCTCAATGAGTGTTAATGAAAGAACAAGTATCAGTTTAAACAGGTATTTATGCTAGGCAAGTATGACAGCACATTCAGTTGACATAATTTGCTTCATGACAAAAAGAATTATGGGGGTAAAGTCCTTCTCAATATTATCTCTCTAAAGGAGTTCATCAGTAAATCAACTCATTTTCATAACCAGCTCCAATAAGATCTATATAGTAATTATTATTTAATTTTATTAGGTCTAATGTTTTCGAATTCTTATCTGACCTAGATTTTTACCGTGTATGTCTTGATAACCTACACATGCTCAGTCACATCCATCCCATTGCCTGACATCTGTCATTAGTCTCTGAGTTACTCATATGCTAAAGCCTTTCTTACATTAATAAATTTGCAGTCCATGTGCCTTGATACCCCCAGCAATAGCAATCTAGGTTATACGGATAAATGTTTATACGGATAAATGGAACAAGAAAATAAATGACTGAGGCTCTATAAAATAAATCTAAACTTGCCAAAAAAAAAAAACAAAAATATAAATAAATGTAGGTCTTTTCCATAATAGAAACATTGAAATACATCATTATTGAAACACATACATTTGAACATATGAACATAGACCTGACATGAAGCAAACTATGGTAAAGAATATCAAAACTAAATAATAAATGAGACTAACAAGGCTTCAGCAAAATGACTGAGGCATGCTCAATAAATATGGTACATCTTGAAACACGTATGAACTTGATGCTATTTTAATTTCTAAGTGCATATATTAAACTTTTATTTGTACAATATTAGCTAAGACAGCATGAGTCAGTGAAAACTTGGAAGCCCCTTATGCACCCTTTAATCATCCTGCTAAACACATAGTTTCACCAGAGTCCTTAAATTAAGAATATCAGGAAGGCACTACTCGCTTCAAATTATCTTTTAAGCCTGCATTCTTTTTTAAACACAAACGATCATTGTACAATTATTCATCGAATACTGACATCGAAACAACACAAAACACAAACTGTGAAGGATGGCAGTGTAAGGCGGCAACACCAGGAACGCACACACTTGACGTTACCTTCCCAGACATGTGGATGAGAGCGCACTTCTAGCACAGTGGCATAATGAAGCCCGTCTACGTCTACATGGTGACATCAGCAAAGGTGTCAGCGGTTTCCCCACCAGTACCAGCAATCTGGACTAACTATGGGGCTTGGAACTGAACTCAGGGTCTTGTGTATGTCGGACAAGGGTTTGACCACTGAGTGGTATTTCCAACCCCAAACAGTTTAGTTTTAATACGAAGGCTAGTGTCCCTGCAATCACCTTTCATTTCCTTCTTTTTGTTTCCTACAAGTCTGGGATCATCAGTGATGGGCTTCAGGGGTTTTCTCTAATGTTTCCAGGACCAACTTTCTGCTGCTTGAATTAGTTTACCTCTCTAGTGTTCTAGAATAGTTGTTTTTGTAACAATTTCTAAGGATTTTATTGTGCAAAACATAGTTCTTTTCTTCTAATGTGTCTATTTTTTTTTGGCTTAAATTTGCCTTAATTAATAGTGGATGAAGATTTATACTTAATTTGGGTTCAAAACCTTAATACTGATGCTAAAAACATAGTTTAGTTTGAGAAAATTTAAACCAATTCCATGATAAAAAATTCTGGAAATCAGGTTTTCAAGCCTTATTTTATTAGAAAATTTAAATTATTAATTTTTTGTTTTAAAAAGGAAGTAGCCATGTTCATGCTTGAATTTTCTTGAACAAATAATAAAGGAAAGAAACACATTTGAAGAGAGCTTCCTACTTCACACACCCTCTAGTGACTTTCCTACCTATTTACCTATTTCTGTTGAGCAGCAATAAAAAAAAACCAAAAAACCAAACAAAACAAAACAAAAAAAACTCTTCTTTTTGGATTTTCCAAGGTGAGTTTCATTTACCTATTTACCTGTATACAAATTAAAGCTGGGTAAACAACTTTTATATTGGTGAAGACCAAGGACACATCTCATGAAACAGGAAACCTTGCCTTCTATGGCTTCTTTTGCAGTGTACAGTCCAATGGTTATGAAACAAGGTCCCAATGAGGAGCGGATGGAGGGAGAACAGGAGCAAGGATGTCAGGACCACGAGGGGTGCACCCACCCACTGAGACAGTGGGGCTGATCTATTGGGAGCTCACCAAGGCCAGCTGGACTGTGACTGAAAAAGCATGGGATAAAACCAGACTCTTTGATCATGGCAAACAATGAGGGCTGATGAGAAGCCAAGGACAATGGCACGGGGTTTTGATCCTACTTCATGTTCCGGCTTGGTGGGAGCCTAGCCAGTTTGGATGTTCACCTTCCTAGACATGGACGGAGAGGGGAGGACCTTGGACTTTCCACAGGGCAGGGAACCCTGACTGCTCTTTGGACTGGAGAGGGAGGGGGAGATGAGTGGGGGGAGGAGGAGAAGGGTGGGAGGAGGGGGAGGGAAATGGGAGGCTGGGAGGAGGCAGAAACTTTTTTTTCCTTTTCTCAATAAAAAAAAAAGAAAGTCAAACAATATTCAAAATGACACAGATGGACAACAAATGACAAAACACATGGAATCCTCTTAGCTGGCATCCTTTCCAAAAGACAAGGCCCTACCATTCTGTAAATAGCGTTATAAATACCATAGAAGTGAGAATCTTCACAACGGGGAAAAAAAACCATTTCTTATCATAATAAATATTTTGGTACAAAAATTTAAAAACCGTAGAAAACTTTAGTACCTTTGGGTACTTTTTTCTAGTAAAATCATACCTGCTTCAGAACTTGTTTGATTATAGCTGCTAACAACGCTGTTTGGTATCACTGGAGTGGAGGACGCTGCAATTCTTGACTGAGGTGGATTGGGATGTAATGAGTTTCCTAAAGCCACGCCCGACTGACTGAGCATCCCACAGTTCCCGCTAGCCTGAATCTGATTTATTAAACCTGCAAGATGGTGGTTGGGGACTGGGCTGTTACTGTGAACAAAGTTAGTGTTTGCATTGTGGCAGTGCACGGCTTCCCCTCTTAAAGGTATGCTCTGTGTCAGTGAGTTCTGAAGAACACTGGAATTCATATTAGGATCTGGAAAATGCAGCTGGTTAGCAGAGCAAGGCAAAGCAGTATTAGATCCCCCACAACCCGGGGTACTATTGCTACTCAAGTGAGAGCTTTGACAACTCATAGACTGTAGTAACTGAGACATTGAACTTATGGGAAATGACCCCTGCCCCTGCTTCCTTAGCAAGTCGGGTCCAGGTTTAGGAACTGCAGAGCTATCCATTTGAGACTGTCTGAGCAAACTCAACACTGTGGTAGGTGGCTGTTTTCTTTTCCGTAACGAGTCTTTTTGCTGAGACATCAACTTATCCCTTAGTGCTGCTCGACCACTTTGACCTTCACCTGTAGGGAGAAGCATGTTGGCAGTTGGAGGGAACATGGTGTTTAAAGTGCTATGTCCTTCAGTGTTGCCACTGCTGGCAACAGCTCCAGAGTTGTTACTGCTGCTACTGTTGTTACCAGCACGTTTGTTTTGATTTGCTAGCTGTGCTTTGGCTGCTGCTGAGAGTAAACTACTTGCTGGAAAGGAGGCAGCATTGTGCTGGTTCAAGATCTGATTTAAAGGCATTCCCAGCAAACCAGGCTGACTCTTTACAGAACCATTTCCGGCAGATGCGGCAGGAAAAGCTGCACTGCTTGGGGTAGTAAGTACATTACTCATTCCAGCAATTAATGGGTTAGGGATATCCTTGTACTGATGATGTCCATCAGACTTGGTAGAAGGGCTTGATGGCATTGATGGCCTTGGGGAACCTATTGTTGACCTTGGTGACCTAGGTGGAACCTTTATGCCGCTACAAGTGGCCTGGGGTCCTACAGGTGGCATCATGAAATTTCCATGATCTGATGATGTGGAAGATGAGCGTGATCTTTGGGGCGATGCCTCAATCCTTCCAATTCCAGTCCCCATCATGTGCACTGGGGATGTCACTGGAGAAGGGGACAGGGAGGTTGAAGCTGAATGCTGAATTCTTTGTACATGACTCCCATGATTCATATGACCAGGTTTTACAGTTGGCAAAGGGAGATTACTTGGCAAAGGAACAACAGCAGGAGGCATGCTTACATTCATCACAGGTACCTGAGAGTGGACATTTGAATGGAAACTGGTTGAATTAATGATAATAGGGTTCTGATTCACTGGTTTACTAGGAATAGGGTCAAGGATGCCAAGTGGATCTTTCTCAGATGTTAATGGCTTTTTCTGAAGAGCACAAGAAGGTGGAGGAGGGGGAGGTGGGCCTTGGGGTGGTTTGTGGTGGAACATTGCTCGTGGTATTTCCATATTAGTTGAAAAATTACACATTGGTTTTTTCATTACTGGACTCTTTGTAGTCAAGGTTGGGGAAAGAGGTATATTAGTTCTTCCAGCCATTGCACAGGATGACTGCACGGGAGAACCATGTAGCATTACTGAAGGTGGAGAAAGAGGAGTCCTATTCAGGTGAATAGGACTGGAATTGGGAGCTCCATGAAAACCAGGGTTATTTCTTGTGAAGACATCAGGGCTTCCAAGAGGGTCAGTCCTTGGAGAGATTGAGCCATCTCCATAGATCTGGGAACCTGATGATGCTGGGCTGGGTAGGCCTCCATGGCTGCCACGAAATGGAGACTTCTGTCCATGTTCACTGCTGCCCAATCTCTGTCGGGGGTAGACAGGGTGGAGTTCTTGCTGCTGGCTTCCAGGAAGGTCTTGCACATATAGTCTTCCCATGGCATTTGCTGATCCAGTCATTAACTTGAAAGGATTCTTACATTCAGGCATTGCAGAGTTTGTAATTCCTTCGTGAGACTTGTTTCTTACTGATCTTGGAGCTGCCGCCCGTGAAGGTGCTACTGGAGATGCATCTGAGGTGAAAGAGAAAAAAACAATTCTGTTAATTGTCTCAATTATTTTGTGTTGGGAAAAAGGGAGGGAAAAGAGAAAATTTAGGAGGGTGAGACAAGGACACCTGGGAATACAAATTTACAAACAAAAGCTGTGACACTATGCAACTAGAAACTTCTATAAGCGATATTAAACTTGAAACAAAGTTCATGATTTACCAATAGTTCAGAAAGGCTCTTGATAACTGTTACACTTGTTTACTCCATGTTTCTTAAGAAAGCATGGGCATAACAATCAGCACAGACTCACATTAGCCATTTTAATATTTAGAATTTGCAAAATCAAAACTGACAGCCCAGATGGTGATGGCGCTGTTACTGTTTTACTAAATTTGCAAATTTAAGAACAGTCATAATGGAAAGTTGTAATCTCTGTGGCACTTTTTCTTACGTTACTTAAATAAATTGCTATTTCTACAAGACAATGTGTTACTCTGTTACTGTTTCAATTACTTGAATGAAACCTCCCCAGATGCTATGGTAATAGTTCCTTATCCCCAAATTGTGATTGTAAGAGTAAGCTCTTAATTTCTGTGATTCGAGTGCATGAAGTTCCAGTTCTCTCTAACGGCAAGATAGCAATAATATATGTAGTGATACAATCATACTTATCTCCAAAATACTGTATAACACAATTTCTTAATTGGTTCCTATTGTAAAGATGGTTTTAGTCTGCCAACTTCGGTAAAATCCTTTTATATAAGGACAGACTTCTCATCTAAAATTTAGTTGGGGTGTTAGAGTCTTCAGCACCGGGCTGCAATTGAGTATTCCCTTTCTGCATCAGTTTACTTCTCCATCCTTCTGGAATCCCCAGTTCCTTTGGAGATCAGACAGAATACGGGCAACAAAAGGAAGCTGGCTTATCATACAGAATTTTCAGCCTATCATGTCAGAATTCCAGGTTTAATTTTTTTAAGGCCCGAAGGAGAGTTATGTATTATATAAAGTTGCACCTTCTGAAACAAAAATGCCGAATAATATTCTCCTATGCTAATTCCCACTAATTTGTGCTGGCTGCTTAGAGAGCTGTGTTGAAAAGAATGCTGCTATAGCTGTACTCTATGAGAAAATGCCAGAAAGTCTATTAAGGCAAAGGCGATGAAAGTGGTACCAATCATACTACGTATTTGCCGTATCTATTTTGAGACTTAAAAGCATATTAGAAATTATACTTAGATTCATTTGCAATCAGAGATAAACTTAAAGGGATAATTGCACACTTAAAATGAATCAACTTCTACTATGTGCAAGAGAGTATACAGGTCAAATCATATACTAACTTCTAAGACAGCATTTCTCAACCTGGGGTACACAGATGCCAGGACAAAGAGAGACGTGAACATGTCCCCTTCCTCCTTGGAATATGTAGACTTTCTGATTATAGCTCGGTGGATGTTCTTTGAAAGAGTAATAATGTTTGTATTCAACAACATGACAGAGGACAGAAGATACGTGGAACTGAGGATAATTTTCTTGTTAAAGAGAGAATTATTAAAGGTTTTTAATTAAAGAAATCACGAGTTAAGATATCAGGACATTGTACTTGGTGTACAGTGAGAATAGGGTTAATGTAGTACCAAGATCATGGACTATATTCTACATAGTAATGAGTCACCCATCTGCATATTTTCTAGTTAGCAATATATTTGTATAATTATCTATAGTTCCATGATTCAGATATGACAGTAGTGACATTTTAAAATATTCAGCTAACAGAATTTATACAATAGCTATGATTTAGAAAGGATTTCTTCTATCCCTGAGGACAAATTGTTACTATCTTTAAAACAGTAGGAATGTCAAGTAGACAAACAAGAGCCAGGCTGACGCTGAGTGACAGGGGCTAAGGGCAGTCAGCACGGGTGAAAGCTTGGCACTGGTCAGGCGCTGTCGAATGTAGTCAAGTAGGACACTGGAAAGAACATATGGGAAGCTAAGGTAATATTTATAAAGAGGGAGGTGAAAACTGCCTCAGTAAGCCTGAAGTGTTTAATTACTTAAACCTCAGTTTATGGTAACAGTCTGTAGCTGGTAAAGCAGTACACTTATTTCAACAACACACACCATTCTAAAGGGAGAATCGGCATACTTCTCATTGTATCTTTAATTTCGAGAACTAAACTTGAATGGAGAGGTACAGCAAAAAAAACACCTAGATCCAGACTCTGCTGGGTCTGTAGAGCAACAGGGCAGATTGTGGAGAATGGAATATGTTGTGATATAAAACATTCGGGATCAGCACAGTTAAGCGCAGTGTGGGCTGGAGACGGCTCAGTGGTTAACAACACTTGCTATTCTTACAGAGGACTGGGTTGGCTTCCAGGCAACCACACAGCTGCTCACAACCACCTGTAACTCTAGTTCCAGGAGATGAGACATCCTTATTTGAGCACATACGTACATGCAGGTAAACACATATAAAATAAATAAATCTTAAAAAAAGAACATATATAACACATACAAAGTGATAATAGCCACACTAAGGTGGGAGGGCAAAGGTGAATTTTAAATAATTTGTTACTATCAAATATACCTTTACAACGTTGGAGACAATTTGTATTTTAAAAACTAGCCTTGTTGAGAAATAAGTTCCCTGAAAGGTTTTTTTCCTCACCTACCCCAGTGGAGCATTTCTTTCGATTACTCCTTGTTTAGAGTTAGTGGCTACTGGACAGCAGCTCTGTGCCAACAACAACTGAAGGCCAATTTCTCTTCCTCTGCACTCTTGCCCTCAGTCCCTTCAATGATGTGTATCATGTGCTTATGTTCTTGTATTCAGGGCTCTCAACGGTTTGGCCCCAGTTCATTTATTATTATGTAGTCTCCTACTCAACTCAGGTTATTTTCCTCATCATCCAATAATCATGGTACACTCATGCTGGGGATGAAGTTTCAATTCTTTTCACGTCTACATTATTTTTCAAAGCTGGTTCTGATTCTGAGTCCTAGTCTTTGAGTTCTGCCACTAAGTCTGGGATAATTATTATAGGTTACATACATCATGATGACATTTTTCAGAATTTTGTGAAACAGAATCAACTGTCCATTAAGCAAACACTTGGGAGCTCAGCTGCATCCACCCAGAGTTACTGTTTAAATGTTAGACAGGCTGTGCTGTTTTGAAGGGAGTTCACGTAAGTGCTATGAGCAGAAGTTCCTCAGCTTCAAGTCATCCCATAGAGTACAAACTCATCAAGGGAAAAAATACCTTAACAGTGGAAAATCGAATGGACCCAATCTTAAGCAAATAGTCAAATTTAATGCTATCAGCACAGGATTAGCTGACATTATGTGCTGTTAGATGAAGATATAACATCATTCCTTCCACACTGAGCAGAACTGGGACGTGAGGAAGCAATTAAGAAATCCAGACGGAGGAACACTCTGCAAAGCTAGCCTTTGTGCCTTAACATGTCATGTCATCAAAGACTGACACACACTGGGGAACTGAAGATTAAAGATAAGTAAAAGCTTATTATAGTGTACAATCTCTGATTATATTTTAGATTCCAAAAAAGGAATGAACTTTTAAAGAAGCCAGAAGAGATATTAGTAGGAGAGTAAAAGGAACTTTCACATAGACTACATGGTAGCCCATGGAATTTCACCAGCGTCACTGGATTGTGGTGGTATAGGGGAATGTCTTCTATTTCTACATTCAGATGACATTATATTCTTCCTCATCAGGGAACATCTGATGTTAGGAAAGATATTTATGTCCAACGTGGGCAATCAAACTTAACAGCAGATGGGAATTCAGCAAACTCCCTGGCACTTCCCTGTGACTTTGCAATTTGTCCCAGGGGGCAGTGTCAGGGCTATTGAGGCAGCTCAGTGGGTAAAGGCTCCACCCACCAGGCCTGAAGACCTGGGTCTGACCCAAGAGAGAGACTGCTTCTGCATGTTGTCCTCTGATCTTCACGTCTACACTGCGACCATCTATGTGCATGCATACATGGACACACTTCAATAAGCAACTATACTAAAATTTTTATTTAAAAAGGAATGTGTGTATGTGTTTGTGTTGGGAGTATATCATAAAAATTTCTGGGCCAAGTAACTAACATGGCTAATTTCCTTTTATTTACTTGTGATTGAAAATGGACTTTCTCAAATAATATAACCTGACTACAGCTTCCCACAGCTCTGCTCCTCCTAGTTGCTCTCTTCCTTCTGGATCCACATTAGAAAACAAACAGACTTCTAAGGGCTAATAATAAAGTAAAATAAAGAAAGATAAAAAACTCCTAATAATATTGCTAAGCTATATTGGGACTTGATCTTATCCACTGATATCTAGCCCTATGTTAGTGGATGTTCTCTTATGAAACAATGTAGCCTTTTTCCTGTTAGTTTGTCTGTAGGCACTGAAATAAAATTTTAATTTGCTGATTAGAATTGATTTTGATTGTGTTACTGCATGCTATAAGAAAATTTGAGAAATAGATCCATAGTAATTTTTCAGATAAAATGACAGAACACACAAAACTGTGGATGTTCAAACTATGTCCTGGGAAATCCCTGGCAAAGTGAGTCAGAGATATCGGCTAACCCTACAGCCATGTGACATACTTGTTCCTCCTCCAGGGCTGGTGAGCACCAGAGAAGGGTGTGGGGCCTCCATGCTTTTATGGAGTGTGGCCACAGCGATGATCTTCCTCTTGTGGATGCAAAGCTTTGTGACATCTTCATCCGCTTTAACATCTTCTGCAGTTCTCTGCTTCACAGCAGCTCCAGGATCAAAATTAAACACCTGGAAAAAAAAAAACACAGCATCTGCTTATAGTAGGCCCATGAAAATGTTTCATAAAAAAACTCCTGGTTACAAAGAGAAATGCTGTACCTATGAATAGGAATTAAACCTCTGAGGTTTGAAATGGAAGAAAAATAACTTTACATAATTCAAAAATACTTCTGGCCAAATAATATTTTTGGGACAATGAAAATTATACACATTTTATGATAGCTAAGCTAATTAAACATAGGAAAGGGTATAATATCTGATAATATCTCTGATTTTGACACCTCCTGATGGCATAACAGCACAGAAACAAATGGTGCACACAGTGAAAAACATGGAAAGCCACAGCATCCTATAGCCTGGTTTTTGCCACAACATCCCTACATGCTTACTTTCCCTGTTGCTTACTTTTATTGCTATATTAATACTTCTGCCTCAGTGATCTAAAAGTCTACTATATGTCAAAAATTCTTATTTATCATATAAATCTCCCCAAATTTATTTATTTTAATAAATTAATTAATTTCCCCGGTCCGATCAAAGCTTGCCCTTCCCCAGCCCTCCCTCACCCACTCCTCCCCTCCTATGTACACCGGTCAGCCCTGGCACATCAAACTGCAGCAATACCAGGCATCTCTTCTCCCACCAAGGCCGGATGAGGCCACCCAGTAGTTAAAATATGGTAACATACAAAAAAGAAAAAGGTGTTTATTAGTCTTTAGTTTAAAAATTAGTAGCAAATACACATTTCAGAGAATGATTGCCTATTTTCATATGAAATATTCACCCTTTTAAATAACTTTGCTTTTTACTTTGTAAAGCAGTAAGGCGACTCCATATTTTTGCTATTAGAGATGAACTCTGTGATTTTAAGAGTATCTGTGGCAGATTTACGGATACCAGTGTTAAGAAGAAAGTTAGAGTTGAGCAGCCACAGCAGCGAATGAGCGTGCTACACTATAAACAAAGGCACAATGAAACAGGCACCGTGTCACCTTTGAAAATGAAAATCATTTCTTTAAATCTTTAAGCATTCCAATATTCAATAAAATAATTACAATAAATTAAAGAATAGAAAATAACATAAAAGTAAGGCACCAAATGAAAAAAGCAAAGATATAAAATATCAACAACCAAACAAAAGCCAAAACCACAACCCAAAGCCAAACACTGCCGCACTCGATTGTGACGGTTACCTTGGGAAGAATAAGAGGACATTCCAAGCCACACTTGCATGTTCCATCAGTAAGCAGGTATGTTTTAACCTGCTCCAAGCAAGATAACAAAGACCCACTGGGACTGTAAAAATAGTTTAAAAAAAGTCAGGAAATAATTTTGATGACACATACTATAAAAGAGTACAGTTTATAAACTTATTGTCCCTTCACAAGATAATATTTTCCTTCTAAGGAGAAACATTTTCTTTGTCAGTATTATGTTAGCTACTAAATTACAGACGTTAACACTATCTCTTTCTTTGGAACAGAAATATTTCTCAGAAAAATACATATATTCATAGAAGATGAAAGAAAGCATTTTGAAAACCAGGAATAGATCAAAGATGGGATTCCATTCTTAAGAAAGGACATAAACAGGTAAGAAAGAAAGTAGAAAAATACGCCAAGTATGCTGGGTAGTGGTGGTGCATGACTTTAGTCCCAGCACCTGGGAGGCAGAGGCAGGTTATGAGCCTGGTCTCCAGTGTGAGTTCCAGGACAGCCAGGGCTACACAGAGAAAACCTGTAATGAAGAAAAAAAAAAAAAGAAAGAAACAACAAAAATTATGAAAAACAAAGCTATTTATTTGAACCCTCAGGTCTGCTTTAAGCTCCTTGGGGAGGAAGTGAAACTGGGACATGAAAAGGTTCAAAGCAGAAAGCTATAAAGAACAACAACAACAACAAAAAGGATATAACACTTTCCTCCTATGTCTACTGCTTGATTCTGTGAGGTGGAAGAGCCTCCATGCAGGTGTCTTCCCAGCCCCTCAGTGTGTGAAGAAGAATAATATACTTCAAATTCTACCCAACAGAAAGACTGTACAGAAAGGGAGGGAGGTACTGGTTCTGGAGTCACTCACATAAGTAGGCATGGAGCAGTTTCAGGTCTACACAGTAGGTATTAAGTCAGATGAAAGGATAGTCTGTACTACTTACTTACATTAGGGGATTGATTAAAAACTGAATTTGCATCTTAGGACATTTTATTATTAATAGGTCGATCTTTACAACATAAATGTGCATACTCTGCTTTGAATTTTATATATACTTAAAGATTAATTTTATTTGCGACTATTTAGAAAAACCTCCCCTTAATCTTTCTGGTCAGATTCATAGAGAACAATATCCTGTTTCCTGTGCGAGGGGTCACTCTTGGGTGGAGTCTAGTCCGCCTCCACGGAAACACAGGCAGCACTTGAATCGGGCTAGGTTAACACGCAGCTCATACAGTGTTCATGGGAAAGGACACAAGTGACTTCGGCACAAAAGCGAAACCTACAGACATCCTCAATTTAGGTCTTTCAGATTATGTGAAAGAACGATAATTTTCACATTATAGACTGGAATTTCACCAGAGCATACAGGGGCAGTAATGGCTTTAAAGTTTTGATAAGTTTAGTTTAAGTGTCACTAAAATATATCATATTGATTTTTTCCCATGAAGAATTAGTAAATTTAGTAAAAAAAAAAAAAAAACTGCTCAATATTTTACTTAAAAGAAAGTATATGGATGGCAATCTAGAGGGATTTACTTGTAAATTTAGCCTAAAGTGAAGAATTCCGAAATTCTATTAAGAATGCTTCTGATATTGTAAAAATACTTCCCACCACCAGTTAGGGTATTCCCTTCAGTTACAGCTATTTAATTAACTTTTGGGAGTAATAATTATCATAAAAACAGTTAGGTCTTAAATCACAGATAAAGCTTAAAGGATTGGAAAAGGGTGGAAAACTTACTCTGTAGCCTGTGTGCCAGGGGGCAGGGACCGTTGGTGGCTAAACCGAAAACCAAGCCGCAGGGTGAAAGGGGCAGAGGAAAGAGCCTGCCTTCCCACAGTCGCTCCAGAGAGATTCAACTGGTCCTAGCCGGACAGGTCAGATCTATGCTGGCTTGACTGAATGTGAAAACATTTTAATTTTACCTTATCTGGGAAGTTCCTCTCTAAGAATTCTTGATGTTCAGATTTGATTTGGAGACCTCATGCTAAGAGGATTATCAGACATTCGTGACTAGGGAGACTTGGAAACTCATGAACAAGGTAACTGTGGTTTCTTAAACCTTAATCTGGTTTTTGACTCTTAGACTCGACCTGATTTTTACTCACAGCAATATGATTTCATAAGTAGTTATCAAGACTTTGGACTCACTTGGCCCAGGCTGAATATTAATTTTTTCTTTATAGTCTTTAACAGCCATAAACACAAACCTGTCACGGATAATGTGCAGTGTTGTATTAATGACAAAGTGTTTCTGACAATCTATGGACAACATTGGCGCAGGAATACTTTGAGAAGATTAGTTATGAGCACTTGTGTTTCTCATTTCCACGGGCTGAGCTTCACTTTCTCTATTATTCCTTCACTACAATTAGCAAAGCAATCCTTTAAAATTTCAGAAAAAAGAAATATAAATGACAATGGAATTTCAATTGGAATTAAAGTTAACTCAAAAAAAATCTTACCCAAACCAAACAAACCCAGCTGACTCCATGAGTTCTGGCATCTAATTCTTTATGTTCACGTAGCAAAGAATATCCCAGTCATGTCTTTTAGTTTTTTTCCCCTAGGGGCAGGGCTTCCAGAATCCCAGACTGGCTTGAATGACTATGTGCTAAAGCCTGCTTTGAACCCTGGGTGTTCCTACCTCTAACTCCTAAATGCTGGGTTTACAGGTGTGAACCACCAATTATGTATATTTCTGTAGAACCGAAGAATTCTGTTGAAGATAGGTTGCAAAAGTCACACTGAAAGTAATACCATGAATATAATGACGTGATGTGTCTTTGAAAAATTTCTGTTCTTAAATTGTATCTCAAAGATTTATGGTATCCAATCTTTCACTCTTTATTAGAAACTACAAAGCAAAGAATGTGGGGGTCAATTATTAAATTTATTTAATATATGGAGAAATATTGGGCCTATTTCTAGTAGTTTACATTTCCTATGGTATTCTTGTTTCTATGTTTCTTTTAGAAAGCTTGGTACTTTCTTTATCCTTATTACAGAGAAGCAGAAAGACAACTTTACACAGACACACGTAAGGCATAAAGATTCTCTTCAGTAATCTAAGGAATTTACATTGCTAAGCAGCACAGAATAAAAATACTTGCGCATTTCCAGCACAGAGGTCATTTATTCAAGCTTATGTTAGGTGCTGTCAGTCACAAGCTTTTGTTCCCTTAGAGGAGATCAGTCTTTTACTGCACACGCGCAGGTGACAGAGATCGCGAGGCTCACCTGACGTAAAGCACGCCGCCGTGGTCCACGCGCCGCTGCCAACCCACAGGAACCTGGATAGCTGGAAGACCTCCTTCCTTGTCTCCTCCGTCACACTCTTTGCCTCCATTCATTTTCTGTGTCTGCTTGGGGCGCTCCAAAGATATCAGCAATGCGATGATATCCTTCTAGTACAGAGCATGGTGGCCTTCAAAACTGGGCCAGCATAGCACAGTTTTCCTGGACTACAAAACACATCGGGAAGCTTCGGCTCAGTTTGGAACCAAGTCCTTGAAATCTGCCATCGTGAAAATGTTTCCCATTATAATCTACGTTAAATAAAAAATATTTCATTCCTAGGCATGATCCACATGGACAAAAACAAATACTCTCAACCAGGGAAAATCATAGTTTGCCTACGCTGGTACCTGTCTGAAGCAGAGGAGGGAGGGGCTAAAAGTTTTTAGTTGTACATTTTTTTCTTGAACCTTGGTACTGGACTAAAATGACTTCGGCTGTCTAGAAACGGGTCTGCTCTGATACTACCAGCTGGCTACTGTCTCCAGGTGCCCCCTGCCTTTATAGACCACATTCTTTAAGCTTTCTCTTTATTTTCCAATGTGAATCCAAGGTGTTGCAGGTTGGTTCCTCTGGCGTTTTCATGACTTCAGAATTCCAATAATGTAGCCTGAAATATAGGTAAATAGGTAAACCGTAAATTTAATGTTGAAAGTTGAGAAGTCACGTAATTTAAAAAACAAACTTTTAAATGTATCTGATTACTTTTGTGATCTTTGCTGTCAAAATCATATGTAAAATTCAGTTTTGCTTTTTTGAAAAAAATTGTTTTTAAGTCTTTTTTCTTTCTAAAGTTTTTAAAGGTTTTTTTTTTTTTAAAGGAAACAGTAGAAGGAATAAAAATACATTTCCAAATGTAAGGGAAATTTTTCTTTGTATTATTGAAGGGATGAGAGTTGATTTATAGACAAGATTTCATAAAACCTTATATTGTGGTGTACTCTCCTAATTCTTTTATTAGGTTACAAGGTGCTATTTGAAAAGAAACAATATTGTATGAATATAACTTGTTTTCTTTTTCTTGAAGACTTTATATGTATACATTTGTGCTTATATATATTTCAAATTTACTTGTTTACATTTTAAAAATATTTTATTCTTTAAAAATTTTATGCATGTATACAATGTTTCTTTATCATATCTACTCCTCCTTCCCAGGATCCCAACTTCATGTCCTCTTATAAACTTTTATTATTATTTTGTTCGGATTTTTAAAAAAATATATTGTTACTTAAAACTATTTACATACCAGCCACAGTTTCCTCTTCCTCCTCTCCTCTCTCACCTAATTCCTACCTGTTCCCACCCCCCATCCAGTCCTCCATTTCCACTTAAAATGGGGCAAGGTCTCCTGTAGGGCCCAGGTCTACCCTTGTTCCTGGGGTTCATCTTGAGGACAGTTTCCCATCAGCTGACAAAGCATTCCTAGTTCCAGTGCTCCTCCTGCCCGCCTGGTGATTAGCTGTAGGGCATTGACTCCATTGTTGGTATGGTAATTTCCCACCTGCCAGGGAGGAGGTCCTTGTGCAGCAGATAAGTAGATAAAGACTTCCCCAAGTCTGAATAAACCACTGTTCGGCTGATTTCCTTTAGAATGACCCTGGTCTCCTTGTGTGTTTTTTCAATCTCCAAGCCCTTGCCCGACTCAGTACACTGGCGTGCACAAACTGTACCCAGGGTGTAACACAGAATGGGGTGTTATAGTCTCCCAAGGGAACCAATGGCACATCAAGTTGAGGCAGGACCAACCTCCTCCCCACTGCATCAAGGCTGAACACAGCATCCTAACAAAGGGAATATGTTCCAAAGAGCCAGCTCATGCATCAGGAACAGGTTCTGGTCCCACTGCTAGGTGCCCCACTAAAGAACAAGCAACGCAACTGTCACCCCGATGCAGAGGGCTTAGGTGGGTCCAATGAAGGCTCTCTAGCTGTGTGTCCAGAGTCCCTGAGCTCCCACAAGCTCAGGTCAGGTCTCTGTGGGTTTCCCCATCACGATGTTGACTACCCCCACTCTTGCTCATACAATACCTCTATGGGAAAGTGTTTTGCATGTATGTATGCCACATGTGTATAGCGTCTGCAGAGGCCAAAAGATACCTGAACTGGAGTTAGAGACAGTTGTTAGCTGCCATGTATGTGCTGGGAACCATATTTGTGTTCTCCACAAGAGTACTAAGTGAGCCGGATGGTGGAGGCACTCAAGAGGCAGATGGAGGTGGATCTCTGTGAGTTTGAGACCATCCTAGTCTACAGAGTGAGTTCTAGGACAGGCTCCACAGCTACACGAGAAACCCTGTCTCGAAAAACCAAAAGAAACAAAAACAAAAAAGAAAAGAAGCAAAGAAAGAAACAAACAAAAAGAAGGGCTCTGAACAGATGAGCCACATCCCCAGCTTCTCTACTTTTGAGTACTAAGTCATTACCAGTTTGTATTCCCCCCTCCACTTGGACACGTTTGTATGACATTAAATATTTTCCCAAAACATTACTTTTAATGATTGGGATGGATTTTTGGAGAATTGATGAGTTAATTTAATTACTTCCATTCCTCCAAAACTGTCATAACCATAAACAAATTCAAGAAATGTTCCTACACATATAACTACATACATGTTAATAATTAACCTAGAATTATTTACTAAAATAGAAGTGTATAATTTGGGCTCTTCAGACATTCCTTAACTTCATGAAGCAGTCCCAGGAAAGGACGTAAAGTCTTGTTTCTCAAACTACTGAAGCCTATACAACACTGCCCCCTCTCACAAATTACTCTCCTTGCTTCCAGGATTCTGGTTATCTTATCTCTTATAGAGACCCATCATCCGAGGTGCAGCCACACTTTCTTTTTTATAACCTGCAGTATAAAAACTGAACGCTTTCTCATGTTTCCCAAATTTAGCATTTTAATATTACCATGCTTCAAAAAGCCAATATTCCACGATATCCTTTCCTCTTTTCCCTTGGAGACCCATCTTGTTTATGTGGCTTCAAGACATTCTAGTAAAACATGCTAAAATAGAAATGACTATGATATTATTCAAGCTACCACCTTGCCCCTAGAGTTTGGGATCTAAGATTCATGTGTGTGTGTGTGTTTTAATGCTTCAGGTTAAACTGCATTTACTTCACAGAAAGTTCTGCAATGATGAAAATCAAATGTGGGCTGGGCAGTGGTGGCGCACGCCTTTAATCCCAGCACTTGGGAGGCAGAGACAGGCGGATCTCTGTGAGTTCGAGACCAGCCTGGTCTACAAAAGCTAGTGCCAGGACAGGCTCCAAAACCACAGAGAAACCCTGTCTCGAAAAACCAAAAAAAAAAAAAAAAAAAAAAAAAAAAAAAAAAAAAAAAAAAAATCAAATGTGTGAGTTTACGTACATGTGTGCTCTAAGGGAGAGAGCTGTTACAACTCTGCCAGTGTTTTTCATATTTTTAGCCTCCTTTCAATAGTAAATCAGTCTCTGACAAATGGCTTTGAGAGAAATGAATTTCAGTGGCTTCCTTTTCTTTGCTGCCCTGGTGTCTTCTAACATATAGAATTTAAGATGTCACTTTTCACCAAAACTATAATGTAAACCACAGGCACGCTTTATTTATAATTAATTCACTAATACTTCCTATTTCCGGCGTACCAGCAGCATCCATCTGCTTTCTGACTCCCTTTTCACAGGACTATACACACACTGAGCAGAGACCTAGATTCACTCTGTCCTTCCTGTATTCACGCTTCCCATATTAATTATTTCCTGATGATTGTATATATTCTAGCACACAATTTTATATTCTGTTTATTACTTAGGCTTATGATACATTTTAGCACCACAAGTCTAAAATGAGAGGTTTTTGAAAAGAAGCCAATGAATGTATGCATGTTGATAAAATCTAAGAAGCACTCTTTCGTGATCTAGATTTACCCTTAAGGATCTCACAACTTCTGAGTGATAACTTTTGTAGAGAATATAAGGCTTCTATGAAGACTAGGATACTTTTTGGAAACTCTCACTTTTATTAAGTAACACATTAATTGTATTAATAAGGGAACTAGAAACTGAATGAAACAATATAACAATTGAACTTATATTTGAACAAGGTACTATTAATACAGTAGACTTCATTTTTCAATCTGTTTTTACTGATGTTCTTGTCAATATAAGAATAAAATTATTATACATTACTAAATGTATTAAAAAGTCAAAAGTCAAACTCAAAAGACTATGAAGATTAAAGATCAGATAATATGACATCATAAAAGTACTACATAGATATTCTTCCAAAAATCTTTCTGAATGACCTCAAATGCCATAAGTCACTGGAATACTGTCACACAAACTTAATGGTAAGAATAATGAATTGGCTTTTGTGTGATGATATTCTTTATCAATGCATCTTTATCAATAACAAATTGATCTGTGCTCTGTGGATATACAACAGTAGCAAAGAATTAAAAGTCAATGATTCTCCAATTATCAGGAACAGACTGTATGTTAAGTAAAATATAGAAACTGTTTGATACATGATGTAGTTAAATCATCACTAAACTTTTTATAATATGATTTTAAAGTTAGTTCATGAAATATTTGTAAATAGGAAGTCTACTCCCATCCTGCATTGGCAAGACTGAATGCTTCAGTTATCAGACTGACAGTAAGTTTCACTTAGAACAATCTTCTGTGCTTACATCTCAAACAGTATGTGTACAACAATGGATCTGACTGGAATAAACACAATATTAGCACCATAGAGAGCTGTATCTAAATGACTACAACATAATTATCATTTGATTGAATAATAAATAAAATAACCACAACCTTTATGCTCTTTGTTAAATTATGTTTGTTAGAGTAATCCTAGATGGCATTTTCTCTAATTATCTTTTCATAAAATATCAATTATATAAATGCACCCTTCATTGCACCTATCCAGCACTAGTCACTGTTCACATATTTATTCAAGTCATGCATTTTTATTTATAAGCATCCCATTTCTCTCATTTTGAATGAAAACTCTGAAGCATATTAACTCATTTTATACTAGTTATTATTTCCATTTGGTTCTTATTATGACTGGGTGACCACTTCAAAAACATCTTTTTGATACATCCTGTGTAAGAGACCCAAAATGCTCTGCTAGGCATGGTGTCCCCAAACAACCATTATCATATCTATATTTTGTTAATCACTTGGACCAGAATATTCTCAATAATGCCTCTTTCCATGCTTGATAATCAAAGTTCTCAAATTCTAGATGTTCTCCTTTTCCAGAGCAGAAAGTATAAAAGCCCACAACCTGTGTGGCTCAGCCGTCAACACTGGCTGCTCTTGCAGAGGAGCAGGGTTCAATTCCTAGCACCCTCATGGTGGGGATGGTCTGAAACTCCAGTTCTACAGGGAATCCAATGCCCCCTTTTTGGTTTCTTTGGGCACCAAGCATGCTAAGTTGTGTACAGACACATGTGTAGGCATAATACCCAAACAAACAAAATAAAAACATTAAAAAATAATAGCTTATAACAGAAGAATGATGTGATAGTCATACAGGAAGGTATCCATCACAAGCCTGAAGGTCTTGGAATAGGCCCATAAAGTTCTGGCACTCTTCACAGCCAAGGCAACAAGTACCTTAGCCTAGGTCCCCTCTATGGCCAAGAAAAGTACTTACAGCCAGGCCAATTACTTTTGGCTATAAAATTTTAGCAACTTCCATGTTTGAGCCATATGGAAATCTTAAGCTAAGGGTAGGAGAGACTGCAAGTGGCCCTGCATATTTTTTTGCCATTTCCCCAGGCTTGGTGATCTGCAGAGAAGCGTGACAGGTGTGACGCTGCTCTCACTGTGTTCCTGAACCTCAAGAAGCTGATGCTTTCCACTCTGGTGCTTTAGAATGCCACTATCCTGTCAACAGCCTCCACCAGCTCTCTTGCGGTTGAGAGGGGATCCGGATGGAGAGAAACCCAGCTGTCTATCCAGCTCAGCTGAGGCCTGTCATCAAGATGAATGTAGAGATCACCAGTGGAACAGGGACGAGCTGGCTCAGTGACTGTGCAGTAAATTGTAAACACACAGCACCATTAGTAGAGGCAGAAAAAACTACTCATAACATTGAGGCTAAAGTCGAGTTGGCTTATGGTGCTGAGAGGCTGGTTAGCATCGCTTATTAACAGTGTAAGCCTTAACTCTTATTTCCTATAACAGAAATTTTAACAGTTTTTGGAAAAAAAAACTGCTCTCATAAATGCTTAGAACATTGTACTACTCAAATTATTATTTACAGATAGCCATTCAAATCAAGTCAGTGTCTTCTATGACACCATAGCTGGTCTGGGACCCACTGTGTAAATTAGGTTAGCTTTGAACTCACAGATGCCTTTCTGCTTCTGCTTCTCAAGTGCTGAGATTAAAGGAGTTCACAGCCATGCCTAACCAGATAACCTTAATTTAAAAAGTGTGATCATATGTCAGTATAAAAACAGTACACCAGCAGCTGTGCAATTACTAATGTATGTAAGTATAGGAACACGGTACCAAGTGTCCTCTCAATTCCATTGCATGGCCCTTGGCAATAGGGACACATTTTATTTTTAGTAAAATAAGCACATATTAACTCTAACTGGGAAATATTTCTAAAAGCCTCAGTACAGTATCCTTAGATCGGGGAATTAATGGTTTCTACTCCTAAAAAGTACCAGGGAAACTCTACATGGAAACATTCATAAACTTTGTGCTTAGGACGTTACAAATTATTTTTGTATTTTTTTTTAAAAAGAAGAATAGGATAAGGAGAATGAAATCCCCTCCCCTGAATGACTTGAATGGAAAGTTGAGGCTGTTTATTGTGTTCTGAATTCTTCCAGGGATCACTCCTACTTTTCTGTTTCGAATACCATGTCTCATCCCAGCTTCTTACCCATCACTAAAGCAGTCTTATTTCTTTCATTTTTAAAATGTTACCCCAAAAGACCCTTCCTTATTTCCCAGCTTTTGTATGACTTCGCAAGTCTATATTAGTATCCTCATTTGGTTTCTATTGCTGGTAAGCACTATGACCACAAGCACATGGGAAGGAGAGGGTACACTTCAGACTACAGTGCTGAATGATGGAAGTCAGGGCAGGCATGCACAGCAGGCACTTGGAGATAGAAACGAGGGGTGCTGAATGATGGTTTGTTTCTCATGGCTTGGCAACCAGGATGCCCTGCCTAACTAAGGGTGCCACTGCCCATAGTGGGCTGAGCTCTTCCACCTCCATCGTTCATCACGAAAACACTTGCCTTCAGACAATCAGATGAAGGCAGGTTTTCATCTAAAGTTTCTCTTCCTGATGACCCTAGCTTGTGTCAAGATGACAAAAAACCTAACTGAGACATTTAAGTTCCTTCTGTAATTTTTCTGGTAATATCCAGTACCTCTCTTTTATAAAAATTACAACATAACACTTGCTTATCCCTTTTCCCGTCTACTTTATTGCAAAGAAAAAGCAGATGAGATCTAGGATTTCCTCTTAAAGCTTCTCTTTGTCACTTTACAAATATAGAAGTGTGTGGAAACAGAGGGTCTGCATGTACAGGTAAACAATGCCTTCCTTCTTAACGGAAGCTGAGCAATAACTAGTCTCAATTCCATAGCCTGAAGCCTTTTTTCAGTATTATTTTAAAATAATAGATTTTCATAGGACATCTATAAAATAATAAACTGACTATAATTCTGAAGTAAAATTATTTGTGATGTATTTTTTACCTATTAGTACTATGATGTTACCTTTTTGCTTTTCTGTATTTGAAGATTCTCATGAAGAATGGTGATAATGAACCCTTGGGTATATTTATATAACTATCTAAGAGTGACCACGTAAGTTAAAAGTGGCAGATTTTGCACTTCAACCTCATAAGAACAGTATTTTGACTGCTTTAGATGTAGACTATTTTATGCAGGTCAAATTATTATTGAAAATAATCATCTTGTTATCATCTAGTTACCCAATGGTTCTCTTCAAATTTATCCCTCCAGTCTAAATGTAACCATGTTCTGTTGAGCAATATCTTTTTTATTACCTTTGTTCCACATACAAACACTGCCATGGGCAACTACTATTATATTTTATCACTTCTGTGAGATCAACTGACATTTTTAAAATCCACTAATGAGTGTGATCATACAGTGTTTGTGTTTGTCTAAATTCTTCAGTTCAGGTAATTTCTATTTGGCTGCAAATGGTAGGACTTTGTTCTTTGTAATAGCTGCACTAACTTCTCCCCACCCCCGTGTGTATATCACATTTTCTCTATATTCACTCATCTGCTTATACATCTGTGTATCTATAATAAATATATAAGTTAAAATTTCTCTTCCACAACCTGATTTAACCCTTTGGATAAATACCCAGTTATGAGATTGCTGGGTCAGACAATAATTTTATTTTAGTTTTGTTCTAGGACTCAACACACTTCTCCCATAATAGTTACATTATTTACTTTATTGCCAAAATATACAGGGCTTTCATCTTTCCATATCTACACTAGCACTTGTTATCTTTTGTCTTTTCAATAGTCACGCTTGTCGGAGTGAAGGGACATCTCACTGTGGTATTAACTTTAATTTCTGTTTATCTTATTTTGAAAAGGGTATTTTTTTCTTTTTAAATTGGCTTATTTGTTTTTCTATGAGTTTTAAAAACATAAGGTTTGAAAATTAAGCTCTTTTCAGTTTGTAGAGTTGGCAAATATTTTTTCCCATTCTGTAGATTATCTCTTTTTACTTTTTAAATTATTTCCTTTGTTGCACAAAAAAATCTTTTAGTTTGGTACAATATCATTTGTCTATTTTTGCTGTTGTTTCACTATACATATATAATTGTGTGTATATATGTATATGTAATACACACACATCCTAGACCTGGTTAATGTTATTAAGTATTTCATTTATCTTTTCTTTTATTATTATAAGTTCAGGTGTTATGTTTAAGAATGAAACCAGAGGAGAGAGTGCCTGAACTGTCCTTGTCCTGTAGTCAGACTGATGACTATCTTGAATATCACCATAGAACCGTCGTCGGGCGACAGATGGAGACAGAGTCCCACATCGGAGCACTGGACTGAGCTCCCAAGGTCCAGTTGAAGTGCAGAAGGAAGGAGAATATGACCAAGGAAGTCAGGACCACAGGGGGTTGATCCACCCACTGAGACAGTGTGCCTGAGCTAATGGGAGCTCACCAGCTCACCAGCTGGACTGAGACTGAAGGAATATGGGTATCAAACTGAATCCTCTGAATGTGGCTGACAATTGGGGTAGACTGAGAAGACAATGATAATGGCACTGGAATTTGTCTTTATGGCAGGTACTGGCTTTTTGGGAACCTAGTCTATTTAGATGCACACCTTCCTAGGCCTGGATGGAGGGGGGAGGGCCTTGGACTTCCCACAGGGCAAGGTATCCTGCCCTCTCTTAGGACTGGAGGGGGAAGGGTGAGTGGGGGAGTGGGAGGGAAGTGGGTGGAGGGGAGGAAGTGGAAATTTTGATTCCTAGTATTAATAAAGTAATAAAAAAGAATTGCTTCTAACTCACATAGAGTTGCATACCTTAAGGGAAAATAAAGTACTTAATCAATAAAAAAAAAAGGAAAAAAAAAAAAAAGAATGAAACCATTTTAAATGAAAACCAGATTACTCAAAGTAAAAATTCACAACTTAGTCAATGAGACACTCATCAAAGACAGCATTTCAGCATATGAATAAATATCTAGGACCACACAGATCTAATAGATCTCCAGTCAATATGATTAAATACTGCATAACTATGTAAAAGTTCTGATAAGTTCTCTCAAGATATGTAAGGAAAAGAAATCTTGTGTCTGGATGTTAGAGAGGGATTGCCTAAAGCATACAAGTTACATGAAATAAGAGATCTTTTATTGTGTTGAAGCTCAGACATCAGAAACGAAATAAGTAATGATATTTACAAATGTATGAGAGCATATGTGATGTTTGAAAAGAGAATCACATTAGCAAGGGACTGATTCTCACTGGAACACTGAAGAGTGGTCATGAAATGTGCTTACCCAAAAAAACTTATGAGCAAAGTACTCCAGTTGGAGACTTGCAAGGGAATTTCAAAAGCCCAAAATGAAGCATAAATTAACTCAGAGGATATTATCAATGAAAGCCAACCCTGTAGAAAATAAAGTCTCCAACAAATAAATAAAAAATGTGATACTAGTTATAAAAATACTCTGAATCAAATCCTACTTACAAAAGTGTTTGGCTAGTACAAGCTTACAATTAACAACAACAATAAGAAATTAATTGGCAATATTTAAATCAAAAGACTTCAATGAAAATATACAATTCCTGTTTACCTGAGAAACTGGACAGTGAGTGTGGTAACAGTAGGTCAACATTCCTGCCTTGCCACAGTTATCTGGAGCAGAGCAGAGGCTGCTCCTCCAGAAAGGGCTTGGCTCTCCAGCTTGCTTCAGAGGCTTCCTGCTTCATTCCACCATTCTGGCCTCTGTAAGTGATCAGGTTTCCAGCTTCTGGAACAAAAAGGACTTGGAGATAAGGGCTCAAGCATACACCTTAGCTTTGATAAGAGGCAAAATTAATTTTTGTTCATCATTTAAACTGTATTTTCATTTCTTCAGAAGGGTGGAGGTTGGGCACTCAGCAGACTCGCATACATTCTTAGCATGCGCAGGAGCAACACTAAACCAGTTACAGCCATAAACACACAGTAAGAGTCTCACCAGTGACACTGAGCTGGCCCATAACTGGTGATTCTTGAGTCAGTAACTACATGAAGACTCCCAACTCATATATCATCCACATCTTGGGAATTCATAGTAGCATCAGAAAATTATGGAATAAAATTATATAATTTACTTTTTATTCAGAGATACAAAATGTAATAGATTTTACCCTTGGAAAAATAATTTTCTTTTATAAAATAATAAAAACATAAGCTTTTTAAAGGTATGTTTAAGATGTTGTATTTACTCTGTTGTATCCTGGCTTTCAGAGACACTTGTTTGCCATGCTGTGTGATAAGGCTTTTCCTTATTGGGTAAAATTGTCCCTACAGTGATTTGACTTATTTTGCTCTGTTGCCATATCAACAGACAACCTTCTGAGTATAATAGGAATTCTATATCTTATGTAGTTAAGTTGGTGATGTGGACAGGTACAAGTCCTTCAGTCAGAAAGCAAACTCCTAAATAAATAAGCTAACTGGCATGGAAACTAGATATGTAATAATGAAGATATGTGTAGACTAGTGTTGTGGAATGTTATTTTAAGGTGTGTTACATTTGTTTATGCTGTGGAACATTTGTCTAATGATGCAAAGATGTGTTGCATTCTTTTATGTTGCATTTGTTTAACTTTGTGAAGCTGTGATGCTTTGCCTGTCTAAAACACCTAATAGTCTAATAAGGAGCTCAACAGTCATTAGTGAGACAAGAGAAAGGACAGACATAGCTGGTAGGCAGAGAGAATAAATAGGAGGAGAAATCTGGGAAGAAAGAGATCTAGGATGAAGAGGCGATGGAGGAGCGAGAAAAGAAGGAGCCAGTCACCCGGCCACACAGCCAAATACAGAATAAGAAGAAAGGTATATAAATAGATAAAGATAAAAGCCCAGAGGCAAAAAGTAGATGTGATAATTTAAGAAAAGCTGGCTAGAAATAAGCCAAGCTAAGGTCAGGCATTCATATAAAGGAATAAGACTGTGTGTATATACTTGGGAGCTGGGTGGTGGGTCTGCAAAGAGCCAAAGAGCCAAGAGTTAAAAGCAGCAACAACACCATTTTAGTGTACCAATGTGAAGCTCTCAAACATCCATAGAGACCTGAGAAAGCTGAAAAAACAAAAACACAACTCCTTTAAGAAGTTCTGATGCACAGAAACAGCCTTTCTTTTCTTTTTTTTTTTTTTAATTTTAAGTAGAAATTTTAAGTAAGTTAAAAAATGTCTGCCACAGTGCAGGGCACTGGCATTCCTAGTTGGGGGGTTGAGTGCAGTTCCTGGTCAAAAGGCACCTCTGATCAGGCTGCAAACTTTAGGTTTGGCTCTCAGGAACTAAAAAGCAGGTGTAGCTGGCCAATAGAGCTGCACAGAGGACCCAGTTGTAGCTTAGTAGTTTAAAGTTTGTTCACATGGTCAAAAAATGCTAAAAAGTATTCAGTAAAAGAAGTCCATATGGAAAAACCTCTAAACAGGTTCCAGTGTGTTTTGCAATGCCTGTCTAAAACATATGATTAGTCTGATAAAAAGCTGAATGGGCAATATCAAGGCAGAAGAAAGAATAGGTAGAGCTGGCAGGAGAGAGAATAAATAGGAGGAACGATCTGGAGAGAAAGAGATCTAGGAGGAAGAGGAGAAGGAGAGAGGACACCAGGGGCTGGCTACCCAGCTATACAGCAAGCCACAGAGTAAGAAGTAAAGAAAGGAATAGAGAAGAGAGAAGGATAAAAGCCCAGAGGCAAAAGGTAGATGGGATAATTTAAGTTAAGAAAAGATGGCTGGAAATAAACCAAGTTGAGGCCAGGCATTCATAAGAAAGAATAAGATTGCATGTGCTTTATTTGGGAGCTGGGTGTTGGGCCTCACAAAGAGCCAAAAGAGTAAAAGACTAAACAACAACAGACCAGTGACCCATTATCCTGAGTAAGAACAAACTCCTCATCACATCCTAGTTAAGCTATAGGGCAACCCTCCACCTGTACGCATTTCCTGATAGCCAGACTTCCACCTTTTTGTTTTGTTTCTGTTCTGTGTCACGTGCTTCAAACCAGTGCCATTGCTGGAAAGCAATTTTCAAGCAGATGAGGACAGGGGAGTGTGAAGGACAGGAGGTGGGCAGTGCCTGACAAGGCAGCCAGGAGAGACAAAGGAGCGGGTGTAGGGAAGGGGGAAAAAGTTAAATGAAGGTTTTAGTAATCCTATGTATCTGGGCATTATATTTCATATATAAACAAAAAATTCAAATTTTTGTTAAACACCATGATAGCCACTGGAAACCCAACCACTAGGAGAACACAGTCCACATCTCAAGGCACTTATTACATGAGAAGAGAAAGGACTTTATTAGCCCGGTTAACATTAATGGTCCTGGCTAAAGTTAGAAAGCATAAAACTCGTCTACTTTCCAAGAATAATGGCTACATCTAGGGCTGCAGAGGGGTTAGGCAGGCAAAGAGAGTCAACAGGGGCTACAGACTTCATTAAGTTCATTCAAAAGATTTCCTTTTCCAAACCCTGAAGATGAAAGTATTTACATTTCTGTGTATGCAAATATTTCCAACACTGTACTCATTTTTAGCTGATAAACATAAAGGTCTCATTTTGTCAGACCTTCAACTTTGTGATGTTGAAGGGACAGAGCTGTGACTAATCTGCCTGATTTCTGAAATGCAAAATGATGAAGTGACATCTACAGGGACTAACAGCGTTATTTTATTTTATTTTATTTTATTTTTTTTTATAAAACTGCTATCAAATAATTATTTCAGTAAGAAAGGAACATTAGAAATTAATGCATGGAAGGAGAAAGGAAAATTGAAAAGGAAGCTGGGTGCTTACAATTACAGCAACACATGGGAGGTGGAGGCAGGAGGCTAGAGTTCAAAGTCGCAAAAAAAAAAAAAAAAGCCGGGCGGTGGTGGCGCATGCCTTTAATCCCAGCACTTGGGAGGCAGAGGCAGGCAGATCTCTGTGAGTTAGAGACCAGCCTGGTCTACAAGAGCTAGTTCCAGGACAGGCTCCAAAACCACAGAGAAACCCTGTCTTGAAAAACCAAAAAAAAAAAAAAAAAAAAATCAAAGTCGGCATTAGCTACAAAATGATTTTGAGATCAGTGTGGGCTAAAGGTACCCCAATCTTACCCACAAAAACAAACAAGCAAACAAGTCAAAAGGAGCTAGATGCAGGCCAGGGAGTACTAGACAATGTGATTCAAGTTATAGGAAACTATATCCTTCTTTATGAAGTAATCCTGAGTGAAAGAAAGATGAAGCTAGGGTGCTGAGCAGTCAAATATATAAATGATCATAGAATTATGTTATCTTTTAGGAATATACATAAATATGTTAACTCAACTTTGGTATAACCCTACAAGGCAAGTACTTTTAATATTTTTATTATAAAGTAAAATTAATGCAAGAGAAATAAATAACTTTACGTCCTTTCCAGCTTTGGCATGATTCATGTGCCCTTTCTTTCACCCAGAGTATGATCATTATCTAGCATTTATCCATCTTACTGTTTATCCTTTTCCTATCTGTCTCCTCTGAAAAGGCAAGCAATGTAAGCACAGGGGATACAGTAGATATCATAACAGACAAAAATCCCTGAGAATTATTTTGCTTTGAGTTCAATAACTTCCTAGAGACTAATTTTGTAGTGTGTTTTTTTCTCCAAGACACAAAGTACTTTAAAATGCTTGAGTTAAAATATTTGCCAAAAATATTTTTCGAGTGGATCATGAACATAGCTGATCATTAAGCATATCCTTGCCAGGCTCATCACTCTCACTGTAGGACAGGGAGCTAGAGAATTCAGTTCCTGCTTCAAAGAACATTTAGGACTTGAAACAAGGTAGAAGCATGAAGGATACTGAGGGCAAAAATGAGAAATCCTGTATTTCATGGTCTCCAATCTTCAATCAGCAAATGTTATCTAACACTGCAGCTCATCTTTCCTCTCCACCATCATAATATAAGCCTAACTTCACATTATTGTAATGTTCACAATACCATGAGCTGGAATTGGCCCGAAGGCTACCTTTTTAAGGACTAGCTCTCATGGTACCAGAAGGTACAATGCAAACTTCCAATATAAGGGAGCAACCAACTGTCCTAACCAGCTATGACATCTATGAACCACAATAAGAGGGAAATAGGAATAAGCACTACAATAAAAATCAGAAAAAGCACAATAAATAACAAAGATGCAACTGAAGAACTCCAAGATACAAGAACAAACCAAACCGAAATCCTGTAAGAACAAGAAATACTAAACACCAAACAAGACATCAAAGTGAAAGAAACGCAGCTAAAATGCAAACAGTCAATGAATCTAAGAGGTGATTATTGCAGAAGATAAAAAAGAAAGAAATGACCCAGATGAACAGAATCAGAGATGAACATGGAATCAGTACAACAAACACCAAAGAAATTCAGACTATCATAAGCAAATACTTCCTGCCAGGTCGCTCCACCTATACTTCTTGCCTGGCTACTGGCTAATTAGCATTTTAAGAAAGCAATACAAGTGACCAATCTTTACAGGGTACAAGACCCTTGTCCCACAGCACTAAGGCTCAGGGGAAATTATGGAAGAGGGGATGGAAAGACTGTAAAAGCCAGAGCATTGGGAAGTCTGCTGTAAGACTGTGTACCCTACTGCCACCTGGAGCTACATCCAGAAAAGTCTCCCCAATATAAAATTCTCAGTTACACCTATAAAAGTTTCTCTCCAACATGAGCTGAACACAAAATGACACCAGTGGACATACCAAACTGGATGGTTTCAGTTAGTC